ACTTGGCTTGATTCTTACTCTTTGTGCTTTGGAATCTGGCTAAATTGAATATCAGAGAGCAGAGTTTATATAAATACACAGAGGTTGATTGCTCTCACCCCACACAAGAGCCTTTATCTAATTGTCCTCACATTTCAATTGCAAGAGAATTGTGTTGGGGGGGGTGTGCATTACCTTTGTGTCTTCACAATAACATAAAAACAAGAATGCCACAATAACGTAAAAATGAGAATGCCATATTTTATCTGTGCAATTTAATCCCATTGGCTCGGCAAAATGCTGAGAGCTACTCTGCTACTTAGCAGCCCACCCTTCCTTGTTTTCTAAATGAGACAATAGGTTGTTCTGCTCAACCTCTATTGACAGTGAAGGTCTATGGATTCTGTATGTCCCCAGAACAAAGAAGGCTATGGTCTACATTGTCAAAATGGTAGGCCATTTTTTTAAAAATGATTTTTACTTTTAAAAATCATTTTTTTTGTTTATTCCTATTTTTTTCTTAAAAGAATTGGAGTCTGCTTACAAGGAAAACGTGTTATATGTTGTTTCCCTCTTTTGCTTTTCTTTGCTTTTTGTCATTTATAGTAGAGAAACCCTGTATTTGTCTATCTTTCCAGCTTACATTTCTTTGGTAATACTGCTCTGTTTATTTTTAAAGAATCTGTAATATTTATCTCTTTCTGCAGTTGGGCCAAATACTCTAGTCCAAGGGATGGCAAATTATGGCTGTGGGCTAAGTCTGGCCAGCCACTTGGTTTTGTAAATAAAGTTTTATTGCAACACAGCCATGTCCATTTCTTTATTATCTTCCATAGCTGCTTTTGTGCTACAATGGCAGAGTTGAGTAGCTGTGACAGAGTCTGCAGGGCCTACAAAGCCAAAGATATTTACTATCTAGTTCTTTATAGAAAATATTTGCTGACCCTTGCTCTAGTCCATAGTCTAGTATAATTTTATCTTTTTAAGTTTTATTTATTTTTTAGAGAGAGTGGAGAAACATCAATGTATGAGAGAAATATTGATGGGTTGACTCTTCTCCTGCAACATAGTCATGTGCCCTGACTGGGAATCGAACCAGCGACCTTTTGATTCACAGGCTGGTGCTCAATCCACTGAGCCACACCAGCCAGGATCAGAGTCTAATATAATTTTAAAATATTGTCTTACCTAAGTGAATTTATCCTAATTGGTACTGTGTTATGCTGTGTAGTAGGAATTTGAGTTAATTCTTCTCTATACCATGGTCACCCTGCTTTCACTGAGCTCCCAGACTCACTGGTATCTACCCAACCTGCAAAGGCTGCCCTTCCCTCTCTGTCCCATACATAAGGCTCAGCTTTGTTCCATTTTTTAAAAATCCTCACCCAAGGATATGTTTATTGATTTTATAGAGAGAGGAGAAGTAGGAAAGACAGAAAGAGAAAGATCAATGTGAGAGAGAAACATCAATTGGTTGCCTCCCACATGTGCCCTGGCTGGGGAATGAACTCACAACCTAGGTATGTGCCTTGAAAAGGGATTGAACCCACAGATCTTTTGGTGTAAGGGATGAAATTCCAACCAATGGAGTCACCCGGCCAGGGCTCATCCCTGCTCCTTGATTCCCAACCTCCAACACAATTCACAAGTCAGTGTGCAAGTCTTGGCTAAAAGTTGGGGGTGATTGAAATAAGGCAAACAGCTTTATACTGAAGACTAGATACCTAATTCTGAAAGACCCTCTGCAAATTCCTTCCACCCTTACTGGGAATACCTCTGCAATCATCTTGCTCTTTAGGTCTTTACCATATTGGTTAGCCCATTTCTTCTTTAACACCCACCTCATATCTGAATCCCCTCACTTTATTATGGAGAGGAATCACACTTCCCGCCCCTAACTTACATAGTATACTTATACATCCTCTAACACTGGTATGTACCAGTTATTGAAAAATAACTAAAATATGAGAAGGAATATTTTTTGTGATGCGGGAAGAGCCTTGCTTCCCTAGGCTTCAGCTTTTTTTTTTTTTTTAAGATTTTATTTATTTTTTAAAGAGAGAGGAAGGGAGAGAGAAGGAGTGGGGAAGAGAGAGAGAGATACATCAATGTGTGGTTGCATCTCCTGCACCCCCTACCGGGGATCTGGCCTGCAACCCAGGCATGTGCCCTGCACTGGGAATTGAACCAGCAACCTTTTGGTTTGCAGTTCGGCACTCAATCCACTGAACCACACCAGCCAGGGCAACTTCAGCTTTTTATAAGAAGGGGCATCAATTAATAGAATATCTGTGGCTTGTCACTACCCCTCACCCACTCTTCCTCAGGGAGAAAGGATGCCCAACAGTGTTAATAAGTTTGGGATAAAGGCTGAGCATGGTGCCGCATCCCCAGTCTCCTTCTCCTGGGACACAACTGCACAGAAGCCCATACTCTTGGTCTTGCAGTTTGATGGGATAAGTTCAACTCAGGAGTGAAATTTGATGAGCAAAATAACTCTTGTAGATGGAAACTTTGGTAGGTGAGGTCATGTGTCTTAGGGTGGGTTTATCCATTAGGAGACACTGAGACGAAGATTTGAGCGCACGTGGTTTATTTGGAAGGTGAGCTTAGAAAGCACCAGCAGAGCAGTGGAGAAGGAAATGTAGCCAATTAAAGGTGTATAATCAAGCCAGCTCCTGCCATGGATGATTAGAACTTAATCCCACAGTAAACTCTGGGAAATGGCATAGAACATGCACCTCAGAGTTATCCTGCCAGAGAGGTGAGAAACCTGGGATATTTTTACACCAACTCTTGTCCATCTTTGATTGAAGGCTGCTCCTACCAGTGAATTTCAAGACAGGCTGGCCTGCCCTGTACCTTAAAGCAGCCTCCTGTGGCTCTGGGAAAAATCCACAGGCAAAGAAATGGAGACACTGACAGCTGGGAAGGAAGCTCTTTAGGGGCACACTGAAGCTTTAAGACGAGACAGAGGCCGGTGGGGCCAGAACACAGTGTCACAGACTCTGGCGTTGAAGGGTGAATTTGGAATTTCTTTCAGAATCGTCCTTTAACTTTACTCTGGAATTTAACTTGATTCATAGAACCATATTATGGGCTTTGGCAGGGTTTGTTTTCCAATCACCCAATCCCATGTTTGGCTCTTAGGTGCAGCTATTTTCAGGTCCCAGCCCTGTCTCCAGAGGGTCCCTATAGCGGCCTCTATGTGGATCCTCTGTATAGGGCCACCTGCCTGCCCCGGGCCCCACCTGCCTCCTCAAGATCAGAGCCATGATCCTGCCATGACCAGCAGCACCTCTTGTAGCCCTACCGTCCCATATCCATATTAAATGTCATGTCTGTGCCTTCATACTGTGGCTTCTTCCAGGAGAGGAGCTGAGACTGACAAGAGCTAGAAACTCAGGCAATTCATGGATTTGCTCAATGCTCCAAAAATCCTTTGTAGAAATTGACGCTGTTCACTTCATCAAGAGTGGTCAATTGGACTTGGTAAAGGAAAGACATAGAGGGCAGATAGAAGAAGACAGAGAAATGAGAGGCCACAAGAACATGGTGCTGGAAAAGCAGGTTTAATCAGAGATGAGAGAAAGAGAATCTGGAATGCCAGGTGACTGTGAGTTAGTTGAATAGTTTGGGGATCGTTGGGAAACTTGAATTTTCAACTATGAGTCTGATCTGTTCGGTCTGAGCTTACAAACTAACACACTGGTGGTTAAGTGATTATGATGACTATTTTTAAGCCCAATAAAGTTAGGAAAGCTGCTTATATGTTGTGATAACCTAGCATATTGGTACTACGCAGATCTCTTGGTGATGAGAAAATATAAGCATCCCAGAGCTATAGAAAGAACTACCACACCAGAAAAGATTCCCACGATGTTAAAACAGTGCTAAGGACACACCTCTACGTCCAAAAAATCACGTCTCATGGGAGAAGGAGTTGAAACTGGCCAGGACATTGGAGATTGGAAGAACTATTATTTATACAGATATAGCACAGGATTTTAGAATCCTGAAAACATCATCTCCTTGGCTATTGTGCTTAACATAATCACCTGAAATCTCTAATCAAGGCATTTTAATAATCAGGACAAAACTTGTAGGTGCTTTGGGGTTTTGTCAAAAGTGGTCATAAACAAGTTGCATTTTTAAGAGCTTTTAAAGCACAATCATAAATAGTGTCCACCATGTACAGACTTGTGCCTGTCGAGGCAGCCCCATGTCAGTGGGTTGCCTTTGTCCAGATTTAGTGACTGCTCACAGATCACTTGGTGCCCAACCGGCTTTTTTTCATGGCCCTTCAGTAGAAAACGGGATCGCCTCTAAATGACCTCTCATAATGTCCAGTTCAGGCGCAGGGAGGTTGTCATCATCATGGACCTAGGGCACTTGGATATCTTTTGAAGAAAGAAATCTGAGTTTGTCAATGGGCTCTAAGGCATTGAGGCCACAGAGGATAGACCAGGGCCCCTGCAGGCATGACATCTGCTTTTATTGTTGTGAAGTAGCATAAAGAGTATTGGACTCTAGATGGCTGGCTGAATACTTCTCTGTGTCCCCTCAGTGGGATGCTTAATGGAAAATTTGGTGGTAATGGTGATGAATTCAATCTTAGAACACAAACAATAAACTTCAACCATAAAAATTCAGGTGGGCATATGAAGATCAAACTTGGGAATCAAATCTTCTAACTGCCAGGTTTCTCTACTTTTAAGTTGATCATTGTGGACAAAATCAGAATTGAGCCCATAAAGAAGAGAATTGAACACTTGATTACACTATGAGGAAAAGGTTAATTTTCTTTTAGAACTAAATGGAGGCATCTGTTTTGTTTAAATTAAGGGTCTGTAAGTACCAGCCAGGGACTGAGTTGACAGCCATTTCTATAATAAAGTAATAAATCATGGGGATGGTTAAGGAAGCAAGAAACACCATATTCTTCCTTTACTCAACCAATTAAGCAATAAGCCATCTGGGTCTTTTTGTTAATTACCATCAAACACAACTTATACAATTGAATTCAGCCTTTTATTTAATTATATTAATTTATTCCAGCAACATCAAATACCCACAATGCCAATAATAAAGTTCATTTAAAAAAATAGAGGTCTTGTTTAATTTTTATTTTTTAACCGTTAATACCCTTTACAAGATTGCCATCTGAGAATTATTAGCTTTATCTTCACCTCAGGACATTAGAGGAATTCGTTTTAAATATATACAAATCTGAAGGAAGAAGACAGTGGCTGAAATTTCTTCCTTGATGGGCTGATGTATCTATCTAGATCAGTGCTATCTAATAGAACTGTTTGCAATGATAAAATGTTCTGTATCTGTGTTGTCTAATACAGTAGCCCCTAGCCACATGTGACTATCGAGCAGTTGAAATATGAGCAGTACAACTGAGGAACCGAGTTTACATTGTCTTTCCTTTTAGTACATTTACATTTAGATAGCCACATGTGGCTAGTGGCTACTAGCACAGGTCTAGAGCGTGTCTTCTGAGAAAGGGGAAACACAGTGAGTCATTGCCTTAAGTAGGTGGAAAAGGAATGCGTATATATGATAGCTATTGCCGGGAAACCCTCACTTCCTACCCAGTTTTCCTAGTTTGAAACACACTGCATTCTGAAAGAGCCCAAGGGAGACCAGCATCTTTGAGGAGAGGTTTCTATGCTGAGCATGTGAAGAGTGAACTCCATCTGGAGGAGAAATGGGCATGAATGGTGTCTTCTGAATAGCAGAACCAATCCTGCTCAGCAACTCTGATTGTCAGACTAGCCCAGGCCATGACAAGGAGAGCCAGTCAGCTCTTGCTGGCTTGGTTCTGCTCTAGTGGAGGTGTGTTCTTGCCACAGTTGTGAATGTTCAACCTGTGGGCACAATGGGGGCCCCAGACAGCTCCTACAGGCTCAGAAATGGCCCCGTCAGCCCTCATGAACATTAACACCCAACCCTGGTTCCTCTCTTATGAATTTTGGCTCAGAGGTTGGCATTTCTCCTCAGGAAGGTTTGTCTCTTTGAAAAGGTTGTTATTTCTGATCCAGTCAATGCAAACCCTGTAACAGGGCCTCCGGAGAGTTTCTTGAGTGTATGCACTTCTGTTAATGGGAATCCTCAGTCTGGGCTGACCCTTCCAATAATAAAACCAATAATAAGGAGAAGTACCCACTATATTGCATGAGAATCTGGTTGTGGTTAACCAAAGTACAGAAGGGCTAGGACAGGACGAATGGAGGTAGAAAGTTCTGAAGAAATTCTCATTAATGTGAAAACATTCTATAATGTGACTCTTTTGAGCTACTAGGCTGAGCTGCAGAGTTGGCCCAAAGCTCTCTACAATCTTCTCTCAGTAGTTTTCCTTCCTTCTTCTGAGCTACAGCTTAACCAGTGAAACATGGAATTTGTTCTAATAAATCTAGGCCAAAGGTTTTGGTATGCCAGGCCTTAATGCTGTCTTTATACTTGAATTTTCATAGTTGGTTACACAGACTATCTAAGGCAAGGCCATTTCAAATAAGCTGATGAATTGGATTTATGTATTCTGGAAGTGCTACCAGAGAATGTCCAGGCCTCTTTTCTAAATCAGAGATTAAAAGCAATTATTACATGCTCAATGCTCAATGGAAGAAAACGAAGAATCTTCTGTACTAGGTAATGCTCATCTACCAGTGATGAAGACAATGAATCAATTTTTTTCTTTTTCTTTTCTAAAACAGCCAGCAGTCAATGATATAGGCGCGAGATGGAAAACACTTCCTATACTCGTTCATGGAGCTTTCTTCTCTACAATCAGAAGGAGTACAAACGCAGAGGGGCCGACTCATGAAATACACCTGCTTTCTTAGTTCTCTTGGGGTTGAACTGTGAGGGCCCAAACTTCTCTTTTCCTTCTGACACTGGCATTCATCGTTCATCCACAGCCTTGACATTGTCAAAGTGCCACAGCTGGCTGGCTTTTCCATCACACTGGCGCAAGTGCAAATCTTTGTTGTTTTCCTGCACCACAGCTTCCATGCATTTCCCAGAAACAATGTGAACAATCATTCCGTTCTGAAAAGTGAGAAGGGGGAAAAAAAGACAACCAGTCAGTCTCCCTCAGTCAGTCAGCAAAGTAGGAAATTTCTAAGATTTGTGCTAATCATGAAAAGAATAATAGAGATAATGTGAACTGGAAAGGAACTGTGGTATTTTGGTTAAAGTATAATGTAATTTAGGTAGCTCTGAACTTTAGATATCAGTCAGAGTTTAGGAGCCATTGATTCAATTATATTTGCTGTGGTTGCTTAATTAGACCATATCTTAAAGTTCTGATTATTAGAATGCCCAGTGTAAAAATCATATTCAGTCTTTATATCATATTGATAGACTCATTGTTATCAGTGGCTTGTAAATTTCTGCTTTCAAATGATTTAATGTAATCTCTGCCCTCTATTAATCCTGTAATTTAGTACTGCTGCTACCAGGTTATAGTAGAGAGTAAGACTTTAAGGATATACTAGAGGCCTAAGTCAGCCATGTTTGAAAAATTACACCAAACCTATCAGGTTTATCAAATTTATCTAACCATGCCCTTTTCAAGGAAAAATCAATGTCTTTATGAAAAGTTAAACTTCCTTAATGGCACGGCTGATAATGTCCATTTATTCATTTATTTAGGTATTTTTGAAATGTAATTTATATACCATAATATTAATTATTTTAAAGTATACAGCTTGGTGTTTTTTAGTATATGCACAGAGTATATGCAACCATCACCACTACCTAACTTCAGAAGGTTTTCATTACTGTTAAAAGAAAATTACTGCTCCTTAGCAGTCACTTCCAATTCCTCCTTCCTTCCAACCACTGGAAATCACGAATATACTTTCTGTTTATGGATTTGTCTATTCTGGATATTTCCTATAAATGTAATCATGTAATACATGGCCTTGAGTGACTGGCTCCTTGACTTTGCGTAATATTTTCAAGATTCATCCATGTTATAGCATAAAATGGCATCTAGTTCTTTATTTTTTATCATGGTAAAAATAAATAACTTAAAACTTACCAGCTTCACCATTTTTTAGGTGTAAAGTTTAGCAATATTAAGTATATTCACACTGTTGTGAAACAGATCTACAGAATTTTTTCATCTTTCAAAACTGAAACTCTGTACCCATTAATCAACTCCCCCCTCACCCCAGCCCCTGGTAACCACCACTGTTTTTTCTGTCTTTATGGATTTAACTATTCTGGGTACTGCATATAAGTGGAATCATACAGTACTTTTCTTTTTGTGACTGGCTTATTTCACTTAGCATGATATCCTCCAGGTTCATCCACATTATAGCATATGACAGAATTTTCTTCCTTTTTAAGTCTAAATAATATTCCTTTGTTGGGTTATGTTTACCTCTTTACCCATCATTAGACACTTGGGTTGTTTCCACATGTTGGCTATTGTAAACAGCGCATCTGTGAATAGTACATTATTCCTTTTATGGCAGAATGATAATACTTTTCTAAGTCTTACTCTTTAATGCCTAAAAGATGTTGGGTGTATTCTATTCACTAATCTTTTGCTTACTATTTTAAAATGCTGTTTCTAAAATGTGTCTTATCCAAAGGATTTGCTTAGAATAATACTTTATAGTCATTTACAAAGGACCTTGCCTTGGTTTCTAAGGCTTCTTTGAGTGAGTGTGGGCCTGAGTTCCCCACAAGCTTTGCTCTCAAATGCTTATTGTGAGTTCTGCCTAAGTTTTGCATCATATAATTTTTTTCTTTCACAGCCTTCTTTAAGGATACCAATGCATAGTCTGCTTATTTTACCCTCTTCATTCCCAAGATGAAGTTAAAGGAAACAAAAAAAAGATGTGCATATTTATTTATTTGGTTGTATATTTTTACCCTAACTTATTCCAAAAAGGATTTGAAGTGGAGAAAGCGCTGTTGATACTGTCACCTTCCTATCCTAATTCTCTATGGGGGACACATGCACTCTCCCTAAGTATTTGTATTTTACTTATTTCCTCTTCATTGGTGCATAACCTCTCAAAAGGATCCTCTCCCCTGGGGTGACAGGAATCAAAGTCTTACTGATATGACAAGATGTCCATAGTGGAATTTGTAAAGGAAGAAAGCGACACCTATATCAGTATCTATGTTGGTGTAGAGGGGAGAACTTTTTCATCCTTAAACCACACCAATGAGGTGGTTGACTGCTTCTATGATGTCCTCCATGGTGCTACTTGTGGCCTGAGCTAATAAATTTCATGAGGGGACGTCTGCCTCCACTCTCTGCCACAAAGGAAGTCAAAGCTATGCAGAAACATGGCAAATTAGTACATTTCAAGAGTGATGACGCAGGCTTTCTGCAAAGTTGGCCCTCCCCGAGACCTTAGTGCAAGGCCATTCATTTAAACAACAGAGGCACAGATCTGAATGGTAAAACCTGACCACTTGGAGGAGCCTGGGACACAGCACCAACCACCGGCACTGCCAAGCTCTTCTGTTGGATCACTGACCTCCTGGAAATCCCAGTGCTGCTGATGGATGGCGAGGCCTTCCCCGGTGCAGTTCTGAAGAATCACCTGCTCTTGCGTGACATCGAAGCACAGGTGTTGCGGGCTGCCAAAGCGGATCTCCTTCCTGCCGGTGTGCTCCAGGTGCTGAGAGAGAGGGAGCGGTGCTTAGCACAGCCAGAAGGGGATACTCTCCATCACTGGAGATGAGGGAAGCACAGCTCGACGGAGCTGAGGTCTAGGGGAAATCTTCAGAGGCTGGGGCGGAGGGGTGGTCAGCAAGACTGTATCTCATCTCAAGTCCACAAATATGCTGCTCAACTAGCCCTGGCCTCTGACATCTCCACATTCCAGCTGCTCTCTCATTCATACTCATAGATCTGGTGTCTTCCTTCATTGTTCTATTTACTGCATCATAGATAAGGCCGTAAAGAACGCTGTGTGCTCTGTGAGTGTTCTGCTGGAAGGGCCGATGAGGAATCCCTCTGAAGGCTAAGGTGATCACTTTCTAGAGAGAGCTGACTTGACCCTGCAACTCATTTCCCTGCTGTTTGTCGTGTGTGTTGATGGTCGCTCATGGTTATTTCCTCCAGTGTTTTGGAGTATTGGGCTGTGCATACCTTTGCAAGTGGACTTTAACTGTGGGAAGTCTGTGTGCCTGGGAATAGAGGGTACCATTTTCTGTTTGTTCCTGCCAAGTATAAGCTGAACTAATTTTTATGTTAGTTGTGTAGCTTAGAGACAGGGCCACCTACAAGGGCATGTGACCTCGGCTGCCTTATGGGGCCTCATGCTTAAAAGAACTTAATATTCTTAATGTAATATAATTGGTTTAATGCTGTATCATCACTGCCTTGAAATTCTTAATACACGCTGAATTAGAGGCCTGACATTTTCATTTTTGCATTGGACCCCACAAATTAGGTAGCTGGTCCTGCTGGTGTATTCCCAGACTACACTGTTCATAACTATGGATCCCAAACCTACGTTAGATGCAAACCTCTGGTTAAACATTCAGGGAAGAGTAATTGTCTTCTCCTCAAAGACCCTGTGGAGATAGAGAAGCTTCCTTATCATTTTCCTGTGGCGCTGTGTGGATTTTTCTAGTTAAACTTTTCACATTTTGAAGTTTTTAGTTTCTCTTTGAAGGTCAACACTGGCTTGACATGGAAATCTCATTTCCATCTTCTCATCTCTAATGAGCTGCAGGAAGGCTCTTGTCACTTATTCCTGCAGGGAACCAACACCTTTGGGTCCCGAGGTTGTCAGTGACTGTCCCCTCCCCCGCAAGGCAGGGCAGCTTGGTCCATGGCCATTAGCTCTACTTTCAGTTGCCTCCTGATTTTTGGCCCCTAGAGTTTTCTCTGTCTTATAAACTCAGTTACTTATGCATGGAAAAGGGTCTTTCTTCTTATTTTTTAATCTAACACATCTGGATGTTCTTAGGAGAAGGACTTTTGGCTTATCTAGTTCACAATTTTGCTGGACCCTAGCTTCTCCTCCTCCTCACCAAAAATTTTAAAAACCTAAAAAGCTGCCATTCTGTTTGCATGAGGGAGGCTGCGTTATTCCCACTGCAGATGAGGAAATCGGACTTGGAGAGGTTAAGAAGCCTGCCCAGTACCACAAGAGTAAACAGCTTGAAATCAGCGAGCTGTTTCTGCCTCATCACATGACTTCCTCACTTTATGTGCATGTCCTCCTCCCACATGCCAGGTGTGAATGCCTATCGATGTGTTTGGGAAGACTGGCAAAAGGCAAAGCTGAAGAGGTTGAAGGGATCGTGAGCATAGCCTGCCCCCCCCTCCCCGCACCCCGTATCTTGGGACCTGCCCCGCCCAGCCCAACCTCGGCTGGTCCTTCCTGCGTGAAGGGCTGGACTCAGATCCCTCCAAGAGATGCTCTGGCTTTTGCTCTCAGGCTCTCAGGGCCTCACCTGACTCTGCTATCAATATCTCCAGGAATTTGTACTTGGTTTTTTGTTTTTAAATAGAGGTCTTTGGGCTATGATAGCTTAACTCAAAGGTCTCTGTCTCGGGCTGAAAGAAGAAAGATTGGGAGGCAGGCTTAACTTTCAAGGTCATCACCCAAGCTGTGAAAAGGAGTGGACCCGCCAACCTTCAGCCAGCATCACGGAGGCTGCCTGCCACCTTGAGCAGTTATTCCATGATGGAAATTTTGAAGAGAAGATACCCTAAGATGTAGGAGATCTTCCTGATGACCAGGGGCCTATACGGATTCCAGAATGACCCTGCTCGAGGTCTTTTCCCTGACTCAGTTACCTTCTTCTTTCCTCAAACACTTGGGCTAACCTACCAACAGCTGAGCAGCTGCAGGAAGAGACACAGTTCTACCCTGATTCTTTCATTTAACTTTTGGGAATATTGAGCCAGCAATTTCGGAGCCCCCTGCACCCTAGGGGGCTTCAGGGACTCCATGAACCCTTGACATTATTAAAATTTTGTGTGGACATGCTTATGTGCATTTTCCTTGGGAAAGGGTCCTGAGAGTTCATCAACTGCTTAAAAGAGACATGTAACCTGTAACAAACATGTCTTATGCTTGACCTCTGAGTTTCCAAGCCCCACCCCTCTCCTTCTCCTCTTGCCCCATTTCTGGGTGAGCTCATGAGAAAGCCTGGTGCTGCCTTCTTTGATGCTGGTGGGACATGCAAACCAGGTAAGCCCCAACCCGAGCCTGGGAACCCTGGCCCCAGCCTGCCCCCTAACCACATAAGATCCAGAGCCAGTCACTCTGTTTTGCTATTTCAAGCCAGTTGCAGACCTGCTTGGGCACCTGCCCTGCTCTCCCCCAGAAAGCCTCAGTATGTGAATAACAACGAGGCTGTTCATTCCTCCTTATTACCTGTGTGGAGTCATCAGTCTCAATATCTGAACCAAACTTTGGGTTGGGGGGTGATCCTGCCTCCTGTAAGGCAATCACAGGATGAAACCTACAAAGGTTAAGAACCACATGCAGGGAGTGGGCTAGTCACTAGACTGGCCCATCCTTTCTAGGCCTAGATTTTATCCAGGCGCCACCTGGATTTCTTGGTGTTGATCTCAAATAGCCTGTCCCATAATGGGCTATCCATGAGCAGGACCTCTGGCTCAGGGGCGGGTCTCTCTCTCTCTGGGTAGCATGCCTGCCACTCATGCTCAGCATTTCTCCTTGGCTGCCTTTTGGGCCATGAGCTTTATTTTGTCACCAGGGCAGTCCCAGTCTTCTTGGGTACTGAGGACTCCAGCCATACTGCAGAGTGGGGCCCTGGGAAATCCATGGAGTTGGTCTTCAGTGCTGTCTCTTGGTCCCTCCCCACACAAGTCATCAGAGCCTCGATTCTGGGGAGAAGAGGCCCCCGCCAGCCCTGGCATCCCAGGAGAGCTTCTGTGCGACTCCCCTCCTCTCCCCAGGGGTATTTGCTCCCTCTGTTTCCTTCTCCCTGTGGAAGGAATTCCACAAACCAAACTGCTGTGTGTGTGGGAAATGTTCTGAATGAGGCCAGGCCTCTGAAAGCTGGAGCCAGTGGCCCCAGCTGTGTGTAAGTCCTCCGCTGGCAAGTGGAGCAGCTGGTCACCTGAGGCCATGAGGCCTGCCTGCTCCGAACCCAACCCCCCCCCCGCCCACACACACACACACACACACACACACACACACACACACACACACACCAGGGTCCTTAGGGGGAGCCCTAAGGGTCCCCCTCCTGGATAAGGGTCGACTCCCATAGACCCCCATGGAATACCTAAAAGACATGGCACATCTACTCTGGGCCGGACTCAGGATCAGAGAACTTGAGACTTAAGACAGTGAGTCATGAGTCATCACTGCAAAGGGGGGATATTTTCCGGGTTCCCTTGCATTGTCAGGGCTTCTGAGCCTACAGCCCCCACTCGGTGACCCACTTTCCTCACCTCAGGTTCTAGTTGGCCAATGATCTCAGGCTGGACCTAATATTTCATAAATGGTGTCCTGGTGGATATTGATTGGCATACAGCTTTTCTTTGACCTCTGAATATAGCTTTTAATTTTAATAGGGAGGTTTTCCATAAATTCTGGATTTCAAGTATCTTTGAAAATTTTGGGTGATCTCGTAATTCTGAGCCCACTTTCATAATAAAAAAAAACCCCATTTATCGAGGCTGGGGCAGGTTCAGCTGTCCTTTCATATGTGCCATGGGCCCCTTAGTCACAACAGCCTCCACCCAGCTCAAGGTACCCATTTCCTTTACGTGCCTGAACCCTGGATGACCACCATCAAGCCTCAGTTTCCTCATTTGTCAGATAAAAGCACTGGCTCCACAGCTTCCCCATTGCCCTCGAGCTCAGTCTTATATTCTCTGATGATGGTCAGTGTCTGTTCTTGCATCTGGGGGCGGGGTGGGCAGGGATGGGGTCACAGTGGGTGACAGTGAGTCATCAAGGGACATGGAACCACGGAAAGTAGATGCCCTATGGGGAAGTGATGGGCATTACCTGGAGGACTCTGGCCACTTACCTGTTGCCGCCGGCTGTTGCTGCAAGGAGCCAGCATCATGGCACAGCCCGGGAGGTCTTCTTCTGCCTGGCAGTCTGCACAGAAGCCCAGTCCGGTGTTGTGGAGCTGAAAGTGGACATCCATGCAGAAGTGAATCCCGCCCCCCATATAAAGACACCCTCTGTTAGTCTCCATTCCTCTCCTTTGCTTTCTGGAGTATAGCTCACGGTGCCACGTTCAGGCCACAAAAATGAGCAAGGTCAGGCTGAAGCCACTGATGCTGAGGGACAGGCCTCCTGGTGGAGGCAGGCAGCACCTGTCCTGGTGAGGGACTCTGGGATGGGGCAATCCAGTGACCTCCCTCAGGGCAGGCATGGAAGCCCCTGAGGCCCCGCTGAGCTTGGACTGGTTGGCCAGGGTCATGGAAGACCACCAGAACACCCATTTCCTGCCTTGGGAAGCTGCCCACCCTTGCTATTCCTCTTCATCTTCCCTGGGTCACTCCTTGCCTTTCCAGAGAACCTGGGCCTGTGTTCAGATGGGTACAGCTCAGGGTAGACATTGGCCAGAAACCAGTGGAACGTTCGACAGCCCAGCCTCCTTTGCAGCTGCAGGCGTTCTGTGCAGTCTGGCTTCTCAGCCTGGGGAGGAGAAAGTCACAGGCAGTGAGACAGAGAAAGCCTGTTGTACATCAGAACGTATGTGGTGGAGGAGGGATAGAAGGGGCTGAAGCCAAAGGATTGGGACAGAATGAGGGGACCAAGACTGCAGCTCTCTAGAGAAGTGTTAGGAGAAGAGGGTTTGGATTGGACAGAGTAAGAAGGCTTTTAGAGATGTGGAACCAGCCACAGAGTAGGGGACGTCACTGCCTCCCCACAAGCCCTCACATCTTCAGTCTACAAAGACCATGATATCTATGCTTTGATGACTTTTCCGAGGCAGCTGGCAAAACACGATGGGGCTTTGCCTTTGGTTGGTGAGGCACAACACCAGGATGGGCCTTATGGAGGCAGAAACTGACTCAAAAGTAACTGAGATGAACCACGCTGGAAACTCATGGAGTGAGGGTAGAGACAAGGGGAACTTACCTTTCTTCCCTCTAGATGCCCAATTTCCTCCATTAACAATTCATTCCTTTGGGCTACACTATCCTCCTTTTTTGAGATTTTCCTTGATAATACAATTGTCCTGGAATGAATATTAAGGTAAGTCCTTAAGACTTTAGTATAAACTAATGTTTTGGGTTGTATTGATAAAGAATTCTTGACCAAGAATTCTACTCAGAAGTTTTGTACTAAATCCTGGATATTGTTAGGGAAGAGAAAGGGGCTAAGGAGGGATTTGAAGGACCAAAAAACAAACAAGAAGAGAGAGATAATTATTTCTTGGGGTGGGGAGGGAAATAGAGGAAGCTGAAACAGAAAGTCTATTCAGAGCTCTAACTTGATGGCCTCCAGTATGGAAATTAGACACTGGTCTAATTGGCTATGTGAAGTGAGTTTGGTTCTGTTTTACTTCTTCCCTCTCCTAGTCCTCAGATATAAATGTTGGGAAGAGTAAGGTCTGATTCTGCAACACTGAAATGCTCTCTACATGCTTCTCAAAGTGTGATCCCCTGAGCAGCTGGTTCAGAAATGCCCAAGGAACTTGTTTAAAATGCAGGTTCCTGGGACCTACTCCACAGCCTATGATTCAGTAGATAGAGGCATTTAATCTGCACTTAACCATTTATTTTCCACAGAAAGTTTGAGAACAACTTCTCTAAGTCAGGAGTTTCTCGTTTATTCAGCATATTGACCCATCAGCAAACCAAGCAGAACTGTCACTTTTCCTCTAAGGAAGTACAATAGGTTTTTTGATGGTTTCTTGGCATCCTTAGTGTTCATTTGATCTCCCCCAGCTCTTCTCCAGGGCTGGATTTTGGCACTAAAGCAGAAACATTTCTTCAAGAGAGTCCCATCACCTTCACTGTTCTTGGTGATGAGACAAACTGGCAAATCCACCCAGCCTCAAATGTGGGGGCATGTTGTCACTGAACTTTCCCCTTGGACAACCGTGTGTGAGAGAGGAGAAAACAAGAGAATGTCAACTCCTCCAGGGCTGAAGCCTGGCCTTGTCTTTGGGTGCCCGGGATTTCTGTATCTCAAAATTCAAGTAAGGATTTTGGGGGTGGGGCAGGAAGGAGGATGAACAGATAGAAATCATTAGAGCGAAATTAATTTTTGGCTCTTTAAAGTAAATGCATGCTATCAAACACCTTGGGGAGACAATGATATTATTGATATCTTGATATCAAAGTAAGCACCAGAGCATTTCTAAAACATGAATTAATGGAAATGTTCAAAAGGAAAACAAGTAAGGAAAAAAAGGTCTTCTAACTTACCAGTAGGAGGTGCCATTCTTCTTGTGAAAGTCATCAAAGGGACATTTGTGGATCAGAGAATGGACCACACTCAGCAGCATGGGCTGATGAGGGGCTTCTGGGAGCTCTTACAAGACTTCTGTGGGTCCCCGAAATCTCTCCTTTGGAGTCCCCACTCCCAGCACAGCAAACTTTAACGTGAACCCATGTCTCACATGAAATAATACTTGCATCACTCTATAAGAATTAAGCTGAGCGACAGTTGACCAGCTGAAGATACAATGTTTGTGGGCTTTAACTAAATGTTTAACATTTTTATTTTTGTATGGCTTATTTTGGATCCTTTGTGATTATTTTTATGCTTATATTTGCTTCATGTCTTGGATGATTTCACAGCCTAAGCACTTTGCCCAGGGTGAAAGGGCCCTCAGAGACCTGCTTTGCCCCTTACTCCCTACCCAAGCTCTCCTCCCAGCCCTGAGAAAGGCTGGAGACCTGTAGAGGTCATCCCACAGACTTCAGGGGGGCCCAGGCCAAGACCGGCTGTAATGCCCCATGGAGATGCTGAGAGAGACAGAGGACAGCCCCACCAGGTAGTAGAGCCACGTGACAGGGACAACTCAAGGGAAGCACAAGCCAGGAGCTTCCATTTTCCCCGTAGACAGGAAGGAGAGACACTCCCTGGCCCAGCCCCCAGCTGGTGGCCCCGTAATAGGCCCAGAAGACCCTGCCAGGCCCCCCTTACCTTGCTCAAGGAGAAGGCCTTTGGGTTGTGCTTGTAGAAGGTTTCTTTGAACGAGCCCAGCCAGGTCTCAGAGATGCGAACCTTGTTCAGCAGGGTGGCCTCCTGGTCCAGTGGGGAGTTAGTGTCCTGATTTCGGTAGATGTGCCCCACCCGAGAGCAGGGAAGGATTTCAACTGAGCCACCGCAAAGCCAGGTCTGCCATGAAAGAACAAAAATACACACCTCTGAGCTGTTGTCACTAAACTTTCCCCTTGGACAACCGTGCAGGGCATAAGGGCGTAGGGCATCAGGGGCCTGCTAGGGGCTGGCTAAATGCACAGGAAATCATGAGCACAAAATGGCAAAGGTATGCATAGTCTTCAGGGTGCAGCAGAGTTTCCAGATCTGTGAGTTCCGGGCGGGGCGTGACAAGGTAGGAAGTGAGGCCAGCTGTCCTGGGATGGAACTGTGGGGTGAGGGTGCCACAGCCATGCAGCTACCTGACCACTCCCCCTCGGACACACGCACAGACCGAGTGCTCTTGGTGATGTGGCCATATGGGTTAGCGCCCTATTCTCCAAAGGCTGCTTCCTCAGGGAAAAGGGTGTCCCTAGTGATCAGTCATTTTTAAAAGCCCATGAAGTCTCCTGCTGCAAAGGCACCAGAAACTATTTGTGTGGGAATCAAAGCGAGTTTTCGTTAAACAGTCTCCCTGCCCTCCGCTAACTCTCACACCTACTCCCAAACGCCTAGAATTCCTTTGACAGGAAGCCTTGCACTGCACACTTGGGGACAAAGGTGAAAATGAAAACATTCCTAGCAGAGGTGCGTGTGAATTAAACACAGAGGCTGGGGTTCTCAGACTGTGTGCCAAGGTACCCCAGGGTGCCCCGGCAAACTCCAAGGCCCGTGTGGGTAGCTGAAATGATTGAAACATGGTGACATCTGTTGGACATCCTGCAAACTACAAGCACAAGGGAATTTCATGGTTTCAATTCTTTTGATGGATTTTTGATGGAGTATATCTTTCCTGGTTTGGGTTTTCAGGAGTTGCTTTGATGAAAAAGCAGATATGCTCACATCCTCGTGGAACAGGAAATGAGGACGGTGGCGTCCAGTCTGATTCCAAGGTTAGAGAAGTGTGCCGTGCTCAGCACGTGCTCAGTTGTTCCAACAGATACTTATTAAGTTGTTTGGACCAGACTACTCAATATACAGAAAGCTTGGGATTTGTTTTAGGCTGTGGGTGTTGTGAAAAATAGCTGAGATGCTAAGGATGCTGTGAACGGAGAATGTAGGGGAATGTCTGCACTAAGGTGTGACTGCCCTTTCCCGTGGGCTGGTCTGATAGTCAAGTTCATGGGGAGGGGAGGGGGCAAAATCAAGGTAGGGCAGAAAGAGACGGAGAAGACGAAGGCATGGGAGGTTCGGTACACAGCATTTACTGACTTTATAATTTTCCCACAGCCTCATCCCTGAACGGTGGTATTTCTAATGGCTGCCTCCAGGCTGTGGCCACACACACAGCTCCAGAGAGCCCATCTGGGTCCTCCCTTGGTCCAGGGCATACCTTGAGAGACAGTTCGAGGCTTTCACCACCCCGCAGTGACATGAGCGGGTCATACGCTCCAGTGTTTTGGAAGTAATGCCTGTCCACGGCCACGACCCCACCGGGCAACACAGGGCTCCTGGAGAGAGAAGACAGGAACAGACTGCAGTGCAGAGCCCAGAGCACATCAGGGAGGCTAACTGGGCTCCAGTGGCTGAGAGAGTTGACTCTGAGCTCAGATAGATCTCACTGCTTTTAATGGCAAGACTGAAGCAAAACCACTGTGTCAGAAATCCTGGTATTACGAGAAAAAAAGAGCTGTGGTTGCCTGGGCCTTTTATATCCCACCCCCAGGTACTGCCCCTCTAGGGAGGGCCACAGGGTCACACCTGAGGATCCCCTACCCTTTGGCTTGAGACCCTCTGTTGGGACTTTTGGGAAGAAGGTCAAGGTTAAAGGAAGATACCCTAAGGCAAGTAGCACCAGGTGTGGACAAAGGTCAGCTCTGTCTTCCTCTTACTTCCCTCACCCCTGACCTTACCCCATTCTTTTTGCTTCATGACATTCCACCCCAATTCTAAGATAAATCCACCAGGGCCTGTGTAGTAGATAGGTCGGGCCCACCCTGGGGGAAATATATATGACTTACTGAAATGTATTTAATGTTTAAATATCAGCTTAAACACAGGAAACTAGAACCCCAAATAAAGGAATTAAGATAACAATAATATCTCTCAGAAGGATTTAAACAGGAAAAGACGTAGCTGGGAGGCTTTTGAATAAGTGTGACCCTCCTTTCAGGAAGAATTTTTTTTAATAGAACACATATTAATGCAGCTAACCTCTGGGTATATCTTGAGATGTAAAATACTCAGAGTTCATATTTTTTTTTAATTACCAAGAAAATAGTGTTACATTAACAAAACGACTGACCTTTTGGTTATTAAAAATACTAAGTTATACCAGAATACTAAAAAACAGTATTGTATGTTGCTTGGTACAATTTCCAACTTTGCTGCTTAATATTTGTAAAATCAGGGTTAATTTCTGGAGGGGGAGGATCCAACGCTTGTGGCGGGACACCTGAGAGAGGGGGGCACTTTGCCTGCCTCCCATATGGCTGCCTGGAGAGCCCAGGAAGCCTTTACCACCCTCTGCCCTAGGAGACACCATGGGGCACCAGGCAGAAGGCGGCAGGCACAGCTCTCTGCAGGACCCAGGACTGTCAGCCGAGCAGCATGGGCTGTGGCACGGTGGCCAGGAGAGGACGAGGGGCTTTGGCAGACAGGATATGGGGGCGCAGGCTGTGGGGCCCAGGCATGTCAACCTCCCGCCCGAGACCATGACCAGGGAAGGTGCACCGTGGTCGGCACCGATGCAGGACAGTGTGAGTCCAAGGGGCACTCCCCGCCCCCAGCACTAACTCCACAGAAGCCTGAAGCTCAAAATCAACTCCAGGGAGACAGGGAGAGGTGGTGGTCACACAAGATTGGAAAGGCACTAAATGCTACTGAATGGTTCACATTTAAAAAATTAATTTTATGCTATATGAAATCCACCTCAGTAAATTATTTCCTTAAAGGGGAGTGGGGAGACGCAGCTTGCTTCCCCAGCCTCCCTCAGGATACTTGCTCTTGGAGCCCAGGGTGGTGACCTCATGAAGAGAACGGGTAAGGATGTCCCGCTGAGGTCCCAGGGATGACCAGCGCAAACCTTCAGACTTTGAAACAGCCTGCAGGGGATTCCAGCCCCCAGCTGCGGAGTCATTGCCAGCCAGTCTAGGGAGGGATGGTCCCACGGAGGCCCCAGACACTGTGGAGCAGAACCAACCAACCCTGATGCTTCCCCTGAGAATTCATGACCCACTGGCCCCATGAGCTTAATAGAAGGGTGGTTGTGTTACAGCGCTCATTTGGGTTAGGAGTGTTGTGCACCAGAAACTGTCTGAGACATCCACTTGAAGAGCACAGTTGTCCAAAAACCAAATACTTTAGAAGCAACCCACTTGGTACCTTAGCATTCACCTGTCTGTATCCTTCTTTTATACGGACCTGAAGCCAGGGAAATTCAGTGTTACCTACTGAGACAGATCAGGCCAAGATCCCGGATCAGGGTCTGCCACTGCGTCGCACGGGGGTGTGTACTGAAGGTATCTGGAAGGGCTTCGCTGGACGCCATTAATATGACAGTATGACAATAACAACACTGATAGCTGAGTCCCTGGCACCCTCTAAATGCTTTTTATATATTAAAGCATTTAATCTTTTTTATGTGCCTTTTAACATTTATTTTTGAAGGTGAAGGGCTTAAGAAGTATATTAACTCATTCAGTCTTAACAACAACCCTATAAGATTATAATCATCACTGATGGATTATTGATGCAGGCTCTCCCTGGGAACACGAAGATGGGTAAAGCTTTTATCCTGAACGTGCTTAGTCAGTCTTTTATGCCCAGTTTACTAATGAGGAAACTGAGGCACAGATTACGTAACTTGCTAGCAAACCCGTGGAGCCAGGGTCAGCTCCCAGACAGCCTCGCTGCCAAGCCCATCCTGAGGAAGCAAAGGAGAGGTAGGCTCCGCGGTAGGGCCTCACCTGATGGGGCTGATGGGAGACTCGCGGGCCTTCCTCTCACTCTCCGGCAAAGCCTCCCAGCGGGAATCCAGCTTCCAGTCCAACACACCCCGCTGCAGGTCCTGGGCAGGGTAATACTGGAAAGTCTTCCAGTCAATCACGTCTATGACTGGAGACACCACCCGGCTCCTGGAAAGAATTATAGCATCAAATAAGGAACGCAAACCATTCCCTTGTTGCGGGGGTAGAAATATAATGTCCACTGCACTGCCCAATAGGGCAGCCACTAGCCACGTGTGGCTATGGGGCACCTAAAATATGGTCTGTTCGAATGGAGATAGGGTGTAAGTGTAAAATACACACTGGATTTGGAAAACAGTATGAAAAAAGTTTAAAATCTCAGTAATGTTATATTGATTATATTTTGAAGTGACAATGTTTTGCCTATATTGGATTCATATCAGAATATATTAAAATTAATTTCATGGATGTTTTATTTTGCAATATGCTTACTAGGGTTACTAGAAATGTTTAAATGTCATGTGACCTGTGTTATATTCTATTGAACAGGAGTGTTTTAGAAAACATGTTTTTCCATAAGAAATCGGGGGGCCATTACATCAAAGAGCATGCCTGCCCCTTTCTTTTTCAAAAACCTCTGTCAACAGTGCTGACAATTAGGAGAACAGGGTCCTTGGCTCAGCTCTGCCACTACGGGCTGTGTGACCTTAAGATGGCTGTCGAACTTCTCTGGGTCTCAGTTTCCTCCTTTGTGAAATGAGAGGCTGAGCTTCTTCCCACAAAGGCCTTCCCCAGCTATAATGCTCTAGGACTCTTACGGCTCTTAACCTCTCTGGGGGCCTCTGATCTCCTTGAGAATTAGGGGGAAACTATGGACCCCTCCTCAGAAAAGTAATCATAAGCACATGCACAAAATACTGCACTCAAATTCAGAGGGTCCGTGGGTCCCTGCTCTAGGGTCTGGCTCTTGTTCCTCCCCGTATCATAATACTTGATTGGCTTGAGGGATCAGCATGGCCACACCCCAGAATTGTCCCTGATATATGATGCTCTTGGTGATTGCATTTTATCTTTTTTTTTTTTTTTGCACAGCCTGTGATAGGATGTCCAAGAGGGTGATGTGAAAAATTGGTACAGGTCAGAGACCTCACCTTTAAAATAAACAGGCAGTCACTCAGATGTACTAGGAGCTGCTTTCCACCTAGCCAATGTCTCAATCACATTTTTTTCCTGGCTTCTCTGAACTTCTAAAATCTTCTAAAATTTGTGCAGTTGCCCGGGGGGTGGGGGGGGGGGGGGCGGTCAGGCCTGAACTCAGGGGTGGCTGGCAGGTATCACTTTAAGGAAATGAGGTTCCTGCACAGAGACACCAGCCACGCCATGCTTACGCTTCCATCAGTTCCACCTCTGCTCTTTCCATCGCAGGGACAGCTGGACTGGTGTTAGCCCAGGCCTTACGGAGAGGGCCGGAGTGGTCCTGGCCTTCCATTATCAGCTTTAATCTGTGGCCTTAAGCGCCTGACATTGGTGTGAGGAGTCGCGGGGTTTATATCTAGAGCAACAATCTTGATATGCTTTTCCTGCCCTTTTCACACTCTTCCCTCTGGAAGGTAAGGCGAACTTAATCACCCTTGGTCTACACTATTTTGGGGCACCCTGTATTGACCTAAGAAAACTGAGAAGCAAGATCAAGGATGAAAGGAGGGCACCCACCCCCCCGCTCAAGACTCCACTTACTGGGGAATGAACTGAGCAGATGGGATGAATTTGGCTGCTGGCAGAGCATTTTGAGGAATTTCAGAATCAAGAGCCAGGGAGCCGTGTGGCTGAATTCTGAAGAATCCCATCAAATTTGTGCCATCTTAGTAATCATAACGGGACAAGAAAGGAAATTGCATTCGAGCAGCCACACAATCAATTCATCCTAGGCCTCTGAGCTGTGCCCTTTTGACAAAGTGCACATTACTTTATATCAGAAAATGAGAACTCTACAATTCATCAAATTTCTGTTTTTGCTGTTTTGCTGGAAGCTTGGAGTGAGTCATATGTACAGCTCACTGCTACTAACTGCATCACCCCCGATTCCCAATACCATCTCTTCCTTTCTGAAATCTCCTTTTCTTTCTATTTTTAACCAGACATATGTGTGATTAATCATGAGTCTCTCTGAGTACATTTTGGAAAGAGATGAAGAATAAAATGTCAACGAAGGGGGTGAAAAGCTTTCTGCTTTGGTTTTTATTCCCATGGACCACAGAGGCTGTTTAATCAGGGCGGAATTAAGGAGTAACTGCAGTCCAGTGACTCAGAAATGGTGACTTTAAAAAACCCAAACTGTCTTCTATTTAGCTTTGGGTTTCATACCTACACATGTGAGTAGTGTTCTTGGAAATCATTTAAAGTAAAACAGCAAAGCTACCCCATTTGGCTTGGAAGGAGCTAGAAGCGTCTGCCTACTCCCTCCTTCTCTTGCTTATGAATTGAGTTTTAACTCTCAGGTAAATAAAAGGTGAATCCTTTCTTAAGCCTTTCTAAGCTCCAGGAGGACAAGTGTTTGGATTTCAAAAGACAAATAGGCATTGGAGCTGCCAACAAAGACTGGTTAACTGGACTACCGATCCTGGCTTGGCTTCCTCCTCCTGTCCCCCCTGTCTTCTGAGATTTGACCATTTTGGGTCATACCACACTTCATTCACAGCTTCCTGAACCCTTCCTTTCTCTAAGCCCTAGAAACCTGGTTAGGTTTTCAACATGTGAATGGCAAGAGGGGCACAAACCCTCAGGCCATATCAGGTCAACTAACAAATCACCTGCCAGAGATTCAAAGGCTAATGGCAGTTTCAGCCTTAGCAGATGACCCTTTTACCACCAGAAAGACTAAGCCCTCATTCATTTCATCTTTTTTTTTTTTCCTGGGCCTGGATGTTCCTCTGGGCCTGAGAGATGTAAGGTCATTTGGGAAGTGCATCAAGTTTTGTGGTGTTTGCAAAAAGCTTCTTCTACCAAAAAGCACGACGCTCTGAGTTCTCTCTTCCCAGAGCTCTTGCCGCTCAGGCGTGACTCCAGGACAGGAGCCAGCCTCCCGGGGCTCTGTCATGCCGAGGGGTACGGAGCAAGACGGGGCTGGAGAGTGTCCTCGGGGCATCAGTCCCAGAGGAGGCTGGGCTGGGAGGCACCTTGGGTGCCCTGCTGCTCCTCAACACGCACTTGCCCTCATGCATTCACACAATCGCACTCACGCACACACACTCACACACACTCACACTCACATGGGATATTTCAGACTGCCTTCCCTCACTTAACTCCTCGAAGAGCAGAGGTGGGAGGCAGTCTGTTCCTTGCCCCTCCTTGCTTTGCTCGGCACACTGGGTGACCTCACAACTAGTCTCGAAGACAGGGGACCAGCCCCATCTTCAAGTGGGAAACAGCTTGGACAGCCTCTTGAACTGGCATCACCCCTAAGACAGTGTTGCTTTTTAGCACTTCTCTCGGGACTGGCTCTTTCTCCTTGGAAATCTTCATTTTAATTGAGCCATGACTCTCATTCCTTGGCTTGGGTACTCGGGCTGGCAGTCAGCACAAAGCCGCTGGCAGCTACCATGACAGCTACTCTAGATTTTCATCCTTGTTACTTTATGTAGAATCCAGCTACCAATCACCACATCCTAAGACTGCCTTAAAAACAATTGCTCCTGAGGAAACTGTCCGGGGCTGCGAGGCACAGCTCTGAAGGCAGTGTAGTGCCCGTCCTAAAGAATGCCTCAACTACCCTAGGCACTGTGAATTTGCATGTTTATTTCTTAATTTTCTGGCAGGTAGCATGAAAGTGTCTTGTTCTAACAAAATGAGTATATTGTGACAAAGGTTCTGAGGAACGGGAGTAAAGCGTCATGAGGAAGGGACTCCTTTTACCCATTCATACCATGTTGCCACGCGGCTATTGGCAGACTTGCTCCGTGGGCAGGGAAGCAGGGCTAGTAACCAGGCCCTGAATTCTCTGACCAGGGTCCTGAGAAAGCAATGATTTTGAAATAGTTGATTTATGGTGTATTGCACTGTTTACTCACTATTTCCACTATGCCCTTTTAATGAAAGCTCTTAAAGACCTTTCCTTGCTTTGGGGGCCATAGGTCCTCACCTGGTGACAGATGTCTCTGGCCAGGACCCTCTGAGGCAGCTGGGGCCCCTTTGTTTTCTCAAAGAGCAGCCGCTATTAGGATGCGTACGCAGTGGCTTCCGCCATTTTGTGTTGCAGGAGGTGAGGCAATGTCTGAACAAGGACCCTGGGGCAGTGAAGCAGACCTTGAAAGGGGACGCTGTCCCAGGCCACAGCTCACAGAACACCGCTGTGTATAGTAGAGAGAGATGAGAGTTCAGACCCAGGTGAGGCAGCTTTTCTTTCAGACCCTCACCTGTGAGGGCCTGCAAGCCGAACCCTGGGGCCAGAGGAAACCAAGTGCCCAGGAAGCTGTGAGTGAGGTATGGGACATGAACTGCAAGCCAAGCCAGGGTCATTCAAGGACCAGAGGCCAGTGAGAGGGAGAGAGAGAGAGAGAGTGTGTGTGTGAGAGAGAGTGTGTGTGTGTGTGTGTGTGTGAGAGAGAGAGAGTATGTGTGTGAGAGAGAGAGAGAAAGAGAGAGAGAGTGTGTGTGTGAGAGACTGTGTGTGTGTGTGTGAGAGAGAGAGAGAGAGAAAGAGAGAGAGAGAGTATGTGTGTGTGTGTGTGAGAGAGAGAGAGAGAAAGAGAGAGAGAGAGTATGTGTGTGTGTGTGTGTGTGTGAGAGAGAGAGAGAGAGAGAGAGAGAGGGAACATGGGGAGAAAGTTTAATAAAGAAGGGAGGGGAAGAGCCCAGGAAATTAGAATTTCATGGATTCACCACCTCTTAACTATGGCAGCCTTCTCAGGAAGCCCCATTTTATTTATAACTGGGGAAACAAAGGTATTGCCAAGTCTTTCTCGCTCTGGCTCGGGTGAGAAATCTCCAGATCTGTGAAAAGGGCGCCAAAGGGAGAAGCAGACGTCATGAAGGACTGATTTTAATCAATGTTTTAACACATGTCTCACAACCAGGGGTGGGGATGACTCAATGTTTCTCCCAGATCAGCTTCTCCAATTCTTTAAAAATAAATTCATATACAATGAAAAGAGCAGTAGACCCAGAGTCAGAATACCTAACTTGGCTACAAAGTGTCTGCCTGCCCTTGCATACCTGGTCACCTCTCTGAACCCCGATCCCCCTCTGTGAAATGGAAGCAAAAATATCTGCCCAAAGCATTTCACGGGGGGTCACTGAAGGGTGTATATGAAAAGAGTCTGTTAGGATTATACATACATAAGGCTTAACAATATTAACTCCTAGGTTCCTAAATGCATAAAGGAGCATAGAGAACAGCCTAGCTGTCAAGTGGCTGTTCTCTCTGACCCATTGGCCCTCTTTGAACTTTTTTCAGTAGTGAAATCATGATATAGGACCAGGTGATCTTAAAAGCCTCTCTGAGCACCATCCATCTGTGATACCAAGATGGGAATTAGATGGGATGTGGGCGGGATCAAATTTAGGTTCCACTCTGTGATTTTGAGAACAGACTCTAAGCTGGCGGCCTCGTCCTAGTCCTAGCGCTAAATTTATACATGTCTCCTGTTCTTGTGAGATGTCAGCCAGGAGTGGGCAGTAATCTGTGTCATGGAACTAGGCACAATTAATCCTTCTTGATTTCATTCATGTTCTGATTATTCCTTATGAGAAAGGAATCCTGGGCTATTAACAATTTACTTCATGGTGCTTAAAACTATCTCCATTTGGTGAAATGCTAACACTTTTACCTCCTTGCTCAGACTTTTTGTGTTTTTTTTTTGTATGTGTGGCCAACCCCAGGTCAAATGAGACAATCAACATGTACCATGGGAAGGAGTAAAAGAATAAAAGCCCTGGGCTTGGTTCTGGTGTCAGCCCTGTCTGGCTGGACATCATCAAATACAGCCATTTATTGCCCTCCTACGGTGTGACAGGCCTCCTCGAGCCCAAGGCATGCCAGAGGTGGTCCGAGATGAACTAGCCACCACCATGTTTGGGTTTTCTTGAGTGGGACGTTCAGATGGAGGGAGCTGGTTGACAAGACATGTTTAGGAACCGTGAGTGGATTAAGGAACTAGGGAGAGAATGACAGCAAGATGGGGAAAAGAGAACAGAGAAACAATCCAACAAAAACTTTAAATGTTAGGCTAAAGGGTATGTGGTGCAGCCCTCTCCAACTTCACATTTCAAGGGCTGCCCTCTGTTAGAAAATTAAAGACCCCTTTGTATAAACCAAAAAACCAAAGAATGCTAGTTCTCCATGGAACTTTAGCAATCACAGTGTCTAATGCTTCATTCTTAGGGGAGAGTAATCTAGCAACATTTAGAGACTTTTTCCCAGGTTATGTGACAACCTTGATTAAAATTGCTGCCTTTTCATCACAGGGAGTGATAACCATGGTAAACTGTGACCCTTCCCAGGGGTATTTGCAACTTAATAGAAGCTGTTCTCTAAGCCTCAGTTTCTGTATCTATAAAACAAGGCAGATGGACTGGGTAACCTCCCTTTCGACTCTACTTCTGTGCTGCTTAAAAGCCTGAAACATATGAAAAGCCCTAAGGAATATATCTCTCTCCAGTGGTTGTCTTTTTCAACGACAGATAGATGATCTGCGAGTGGCTGAGCCTGCGAACGACTCGCACTCCCACCTCTGGCTCCGGTCCTCAGGGGGTGTTACCTGTCACCAGCTATTCTGCTGAGGAGGGGCTCCAGCCAGCCCGGGTGGCACTCGCAGTGGGAGTCCATGAAGACCAGCACATCCCCAGTGGCCCTGGTGGCTCCCAACATCCGGGCCCTGATGGCGCCCAGCCTCTTGTTGCTCCTGAGCAGTTTCACTCCCTCCAGCCTGGCCACATATTCGCTGAGAGCCGTCTTGAGCTGTCCTGGAACCGACAGGCTTGTGGTCAGTACAACCTCTTACCACTTGACTGTTGCGTTTCTCAGAGGTAAAAAATTGTGCTGATTTATTGCTTTGTATTCATTTTTCTGGTAAGTTTGTTAGCTCCAAGTCCATTCCCTAGAGAAGGACCCCTGTTAATGAAGCTGTTAAAATTTCTGAACTTGGACGTCTGAGAACCCGTCCCTCGGAACCCGCCCCTCGGTGACGCCGCTGCACTGAGCATTGCTACCATTGTCAGCAGCATTCCTTCTCCCCTTCCACCTTCCTCACTAACAGAAACTTGCTTTTGTTCAGGGCAGCTAAAAACTCACCTGCCAAGACATCTTTGCTGCTTGCTAGTGGTAGCTAGTGGTGGATCCAGTTCCAGGAGAAATATACTAAATAAGAGGATTCTGGAAAAAAACTCTTCTTTCTCTGAATTTTTCTAAATTTGACTGGCCTCTGCCTGCCTGCTTTTTTGTCCTTTTCCTGCCTCGAACATGGACGTGATGCTCAGAGGTGGAGCAGCCTCACAGTGATCATGAGGCCAAAAGCCACACACCAAGCGTGGCTACATGGAAAGCAGAAGGAGCTGAGGACACTGGAAGCAGCTCACAGCCCCGAGGCCCAGCTCCTTTGCCTCTACACATGAAAGGAAACAAGAAGTCTCCTGGGGGGACAGTGACAATAATACGCTTCATCAGCTGATGGGGGAGGGACCACACATGTGCTCTTGAGAATACTCTGCCCCCTGTGACGGTATAGAGAGTCTCTCTGGGCACCGTCACTGGCCAACCCAGCTCAGCCCAGGACCTGCGCACTTGCCCTGCCTAATACACAGCCAGGCACACTTCCATAACCCCATGTGCTCCCGTGGCCTCTGGCCAGTCTGACTCACTGCCATGGCCAGGCTGGCTGAGTTCCCAGCATGAGAAACCTAGGAAGAACTAACAGAGGCACCTGGCCACTCTGTCCTGTCCCCTCTCTGTCCTCTCCCAGATCTCCGCTTCTCTTGGAACAGTCTGATCTCGCCACAAGGCCAGGAATATCTTCCGTAGGCCATTGAGTTGAGCCAGGACTGTAGTCCCCAAGGCCCACCCAAAGACTAGAGCAGTGGTTCTCAAAGTGTGGTCCATGGACCACCAGCATCAGCACCGCCTGGGAGCCTGTTAGAAATGCACATTCTTGAGCCAAATACCAGGTCCAGAAACTCTCAGCATGGGCCTGGGAATCGGTGTTTTCACAAGCCTGCCAAGTGATTCTGATACACGTTCAAGTCTGAGAACCAGTGACCCAGAAGTCGGGCAGGGGGTTTCTCTGTCTCCATTTTCTCTTAGGGACTTGACCACGCAATGGGCTGGTCCCCAGTGGTGAGCTTCCTGTTGGTGGAAACATTCGAGCAGGTTCTACAGGTCTGGGCTCTGGGCCTGACTCCTCTGCTCTTGGCGTAACTCAGCCCTGGTCAGCTCTTCTCTCCGGGCCCCAGCTTCCTCCTCTGAGAAGTGAGTGAATCAGGTTGAACAAACAAGGATGATTTAATGACTAACACGTGTCAGATGCTCTGACCAGTGTCTGCAAGGCAGGGGATGTTCACCAAGTAGCCATACCTCATGATTCTTGAGTGTCTTGGGCAGAAGCTTGTCGGACCGTGAGGAGCTTGGGGCCCGGGGAGAGAGCCCAGGGGAAGGCTGGAGCGACCCTCCTGAGACTCTTGCCCTGCTTGTCTGCTTCGCCTTTTCTGTCCCGTTCCCCCTCTTCTGCACTGGTTGCCCTGGGGGGCTCTTCGGTAATGAATTACCTGCACCTGAATTCTCATCTGGAAGTCTGCTTCTAGGGACTTTTCCTAAACGGGTTCTGTACCCCCGTGTTTGCATGGCAACCCCCCCAGGATTCCCTCCCACCTGATGGAGCCTGGAGGAAGCCCACAGCCACCTTGCTGGCTGAGGTCGTCCACGAGGATGATCTCCTTCAGGAAGGCCCTGGGCGCTGTGTCGAGGATGCTGTGCACGGTTCGCAGGAGGGTGGACCAGGCCTCGTCGTGGAAACAGAGGATGATGCTAGCCGTGGGCAGGCTCTCCTCAGGCTGCTGCTGCAGGCACCTGCAGGGACGAAAGCCAGGGAGCCATGGGGAAGAAAGGCCATAGAAGGTGCTCAGCATCCTCGAACCCATCCCCCCAGGCCCTGGCTGGGACTGCTCCAACCAGATGGCTCTCCTCCCAACTCAATAGGTCTCCCAGGGTTTCCTTAAAATTTCCATGTAAAGAGAGCCCACTGCACCCCCACAGTGATGCTGTGCACTCCCTCCCAAGAGCTTCTTCCCAATGTTCGATCCCCGCCATCCTCAGGGCAGTTGAGAGGTGTTGCCACCATTCTCAGCAGATGACAGCCCTGATCTGTAAAATGGGAACGAGTGATTTATTACCAACCTCAGAGAGCTGCTGTGAGGCCTAAATAAAATGACATACATAGTGAGTGTCCTATGAACAGTAATTGTCATCCGTTTAAGGGCAGAGACGTTATTTTCTTTATTTTTGTATTCCTACAACCTAGCATAGCACAAGCCGCATAATAGATGTTTATTATTATCTTTGAAGAAGGGACAATGATTAAACATTTGTGAATGCCAGCAATGTGTCAAACACTATGCTAGGCCCTTTGTACCCTTTATTGCATGTTCACCCTATGATAAGTCTGTGGATTGGGCTCTTACCCCATTTTACAGATAAGAAAACTGAGGCTCATTAGAAGACAATACTGGTTAAAGGGCCCATCACCGATAAGCGGCAGAGCTGGATATTTTCCTTCAGAGCTATCACGCCCTTTCCGCTCTGCTAGTTCACGGCTGGATAGAAGGGCTTGTGTGGTGTTCAACCTCCGCTGGGAGGCTGGCTGGCTCCCTCCTCCTGTCCAGGTGAATAGGAAGCTCTGTGTTTGCTTTGCATTGCGCCGCCTGAGATTTCTGAGTGAGCCCACGGTGGCACTAACTATGATGATGGCCTGTTGCATGGAGCAGGGTGTGGCTCACAGTTGCTCACAAAGGGCACTTTCCTAAAGCGCTTTTCCAAGGTGCTTCTCTCTAGGTTTTAACTGTTAAAACCACACCCCTCCTCAGAGGAGTATTTGCTTTGGAGTAGTGGATGTCTCATGGACCCCAAACTTCCAACTTCTAGAGGCACCTGTGGTGGTGGAACTGCAGGCAGAATGACAACCAGACTGGCCCTGCCTGAGGGAAGTGTCCTTGTAACCATGTCAGCCCATTAAGGCTGCTCATTAGCAGTGTCCTCTGGCTGGCGGACCCCTGCCCAAGGCCGGAAGCCTCAGTGAGCAGGAGACCGACGCGTGGCTCTCAGCGCAAAATCTTATTGCGGGAGGGGAAACTGATACCAAGTAAGTGCTTTAAGGGCACAATAAAACAGCATTCCTAAATAATATTTTTTTTAAAGCACACGACCGTCTCATAAACTAGCTATGCCAGTCATTTATCAGTTTGCATATTTATGCGTTATTCCTTTCCATAAAGGATTTGAAGTAACTCACAAGATATATGTACAATAAAATAATGCTAAAATATAAATAAGGATAAACAGTCAGGAGCAGGGAAATACAAAAGCATAGAAAGTCAGCATTTGACATGAATATATAGGCCATAGGGCTTTGTATTTCTAGAGTGAATTTTTGAATGTGGCTCTGGGCTTCCTGGTAGCCAACGGAAAATGAGAGACTTGTCCTGCAACAGAACTGTTGCCATCAGAGGAGTTATAGGCCATTGTTTTAGGGAAAGTGATGTTCTTTCTGGTACTTCTTTCAGTTTCATAACTTTTTATTTTGCAATAGTTTAGGACACTCAAGAAGTTGCAAAAATAACACAGAGAGTTCCTGCGTTATCTACGTTCAGCCAGCTTCACCCAGTGGTAACATCTTACCTAACTATGGCAATGCTCAAAACCAGGAATTTGACGTAGTTCAACACCATCAACTCAAATACAAACCTTAATTGGATTTCACCAGTTTTTGTATCCAGCACTAATTTTTTAAAGGAATTTTCTATGGACTTGAGAAAGAAATGAATACGGTGTCCGTAGAAGCATCTTGAAGACAAATAAAATAATGAACTTTACATGGACTTTTACAGTCTGAGCTCAGAGCTGTTCAAACATGTCCAGAGTGGAACCCATTACTGGCAAGATTTTAGGAAGATAACTGAGTCCTCCCCAACCCCCACACACCTGCTGCGTCTTTCTCTTACCTCTTCAGCCTCCCTCCTCCCGCTGACCCCAGAGCACCACTGCATGGCCTCATGGAGCTTTCCTCTTCCAATCCCCCTGACTTTTGAGCATTTCCACTCTGCCCTAAGAATTGCTCTAGAGCTGCTCACACACAGATTCACAACTTCCTTAGAGGTTTCTCCATTGCCTTTGTGGCCGTGGGCACAGACAAATCCACAGGCGCCTTGTGGGGCTATGAAAAGAAATCTTGCCTCAGTAAATTCAATGGACATGAAAAAAACCTGAAACATTCCTTGGGCAATTACCAGGGGGCTGATCTGGAGAGGAATTTGGGGACAGAAAGATCTGTGTATGAAATTCCTGTGGGTGCAATTTTATAGGGACCAAATTTCATCACCACAGGGCAGAACACGGCCATGCCTTCCCACGAGACTAGCCCTGCTTTCTAGCCAAATCCAGAGAATGTGAGGACCAGGAACAACATGAATGTGTGATGTGTGCATGTATGTGTTATGTGTTTGTGTGTGTGTGTGTGTGTTTGTCTTTTAAGTGAGGTGATTCAAAGAGCTTAGACTTTGGAATCAGACATATTTAGATTTGAATCTTCACTCTCCTGCTTCCTAAGTTCCCATGGGCGGTATACTCAATATTTATAAGCCTCAGTTTCCTCATCTGAAAAATAAGGATAATAATATTCACTTTTGGGGCCTGCTGTGATAATCTAAGAATAATTACAGGCATGTAATAGACAGTGGATATTTTATAGCTACCTTGGAAAAAGATACAATGTGATTAGCACGTGTATCATCTTTGTAAAATATCATTATCTTTAAACAACCACTCTACAGTATAGCATGAGATGCCTCCTGAACTACTTTGGGAAGTGAGTTTTCCACATCTGCACAACGTTAACAGCACCCACTTCAAAGCTTTTGTAAGAAACAAGTGCTTAGCACAGCACATGACAGGGGCTCCATCAACGAAAGAGCTTTGTATGGAAACTCCAGCTCTGCAAGACCGCACTCCTGGCATATTCCTCAAAGTCAGGCTGCAGAAGAGCTTCCTGCTCTGCTCAACAGCCAGGGTCCCAGGGCTACTGACGTCCTCTCTTTGACCTCAGGGAATGGTGCTGTCTGCGGAGAGGCAGTCAGGCATGGATGCTGGAACTCTGCCACATCCTAGCTGTGTCAATGAAGGTGGGCAAGTCACTTAGCTCCTTGGTGCCTTGGTTTCCTCAGGACGGTGATAATAGCATCCACCTCATAGAGCTGCTGTCACGATGCATGGCCTTCATGAAGCACCCAGAGCAGCAGCTGGCAGAGTAAACGCTGTGTAGGTATTTGCCGCTGTTATTGGAAGACGTGCTTTACTGTAAGATGTACCCCTGAGGCTCTTCCAGCCTTGGAATTCTGTGTTCTTGACTCTTTGGGGCCCCCTGGGGGTAGGAGAGGGGGAAGGGAAGAGGGAAAACCAGGGCAGCTGGAGTTTTAAAGAGAATTTCATGAGAATCTCTTCCTCTCCAGCTGGCTTGCTCCCGAATTTCTAGGTTTTATGGCTAGAAGGAACTGTGCTCTCTCTTCACAGTGAGAGAGGATGGCTAACAGATAAATGGGCAAGGAGTGTGACTGGGGTAAACTTAATAGGTTGCTAAGGATTTGGAAACACCAAGTGGGTTTTTGAGAGTTATTCCAAAGCTAAGGAAGATGCCTCCCTCAGCTCTGTGTGTGTGGCGGGGGATGGCGTGTTGGGGGGGGGGTGCAGCAGGGTTTGGGGGTGTCCTGGCATCAGCCCAGAAAGGATTTGTATCTGCTCCATGGCAGAAGCTCATACAAACTTCAGGACAGGAACAGACAGCTTTGGGGCTTCTCAGGCAACTGCTAAACGGCCAGGTGGCAAGAGCTGCAAATAGCTGTAGAGATAATCTGATGTTTGAGGGGAGGATAAGCACGGGCTCTGTGTGAATCCTGTGGCCTGAGAGAAGGCCCAGCACCCTCGGCCTGGCCCCGGAGTACAGCGCTAAATATTATGAACACTGGCAAGGCCTCGTGCGTCAGGCCTGTTAGATGCTTCTGAGAGGAGTCAGGGGTTGATTGTTTCTTGGGGGCACAATGACCTGGACGAGGTGGCCTACGGATGGTGCAGGCTGTGTAGCCCCCAGACACCAGCAGAAAGAACGGCTACCAAGTATGCGCATGGGCTTATGGCGGTCCAGGGTCATGATCGCGGGGATGGGCTTTGTCAGCCTGTGGGAACGATGAGTCTTGTGAAGATGGGCGAATGGAATGAGCCCTCCCTCTGTCTGAAGGCCCAGCTGGCAGGGCAGAGTGGAGGAGGGCATGACATGTGATACCTGAGGGCAGCCAAACTGCAACTCCATCCACCTTGCTCAGAAACTGTGTCAGCTTAGAGCAACTTCGGACGAAGCTGTATGTGAAGTGGCTAGATCCTGCGTCTGTTCTTGTGTGTGACTTGGACAGGCACCACAAGCTTCTGATAACCACGCTTTGTTTCCATAATTTCCGGATCCACAGGCCTACTTGCATCTATAGCAACCAATTTTTATTTTTCATAATCTTCTTGATTCCAGTAAGTCCTTCTTAAGCATGTACTTACTTAACCTCAGGTTTCTCATCTGTAAAATGGAGTTGTTGGAAGGATCAAAACGGTTAATATATATAAAGTACTTAGCCCAGTGCCTTGTTCATAGTAAAAGTTCAATAAAGGCTAATTATTGTTATTATTTCTTGCATGTCTCCCATGTGCCTGGATATCTCTCTAGGCCTCAATTTCTTCATCTATAAAATGAGGATAAGGATAACATGTAGTTACTTCAGATGGCTCTGTAAAGATTATATAAGCCAAGAGATGTGTTG